TTGACTCAGTCACACATGGTGCAGCAGGTCCTTCAGCGCTTCGGCTTCACGTACTCCTCGCCACAGTCCACTCCTCTGCCTACCGGTCACTCGCTCTCAGCTCCACCTTCGGACGAGTACGTAGAGCCGAGTGGCCCGTATCCAGAGCTTGTGGGCTGCCTCATGTACCTAATGACCTGCACTCGACCTGACCTTGCCTACCCTCTTAGCATTCTAGCACGCTATGTCGCTCCTGGCAGACACAGGAAGGAGCACATGGATGCAGCTAAGAGGGTGTTGCGCTACTTGTGTAGTACGTCGGGCATGGGGCTCGTGCTTGGAGGACGGGCTCGAGTTGTCCTCACTGGTCACGTAGACGCTTCTTGGGTTGACGACTTGGCTACGTAGCGGTCGTCACAGGGTTACACCTTCAGCCTTGGCTCCGGCTCTGTCTCTTGGCGGTCTACCCGCTCGTCTTCAGTTCTCAGCTCCACTCGCGAGGCTGAGATCTACGCAGGGGCCATGGCTGCACAGGAGTTACGCTGGCTCACCTACCTGCTGATCGACCTGGGAGAGCCGCCTCGTTCTCCTCCAGTGCTGTACGTCGACAACAAGGCCATGATTGCCTTGTCTCAGGAGCACAAACTGGAGCAAAGAACAAAGCACATTGCTCTGTGCTACTTCCTTGCTCGAGAGTTGCAGCAGCGTGGCCAGCTTCGTCTTGCTTACATGGCCACTCGGGCCAACACTGCTGATGTTTTCATCAAGGTACTTCCGCCTTGTGATCATCAGCGTTTCTGTACTGTTCTAGGCCTTGTACCTACTGTGCCTCACTTGCTTACTTCTTGACTCTACTTGTACTGTGATCTCTATACATATACCTGTATGCTTACACTTGCTAGGTTGTGTTCACTGTATTGCTTGTTCTCCTTTATATAACTCTGCATGTGAACTGGCCTTGTGGCCATTTGCTTGTGCTCAGAATGCGTGGTGACGTCGTGATCCACCCTGAGCTTGCTTTGCCTTTCTTGACCGGTCTTGTGACCTCTTGTTCTCCCCCACCTTGCGTATGGGGGTGTGTCAAACTTATATGCCATAGTCTGTCTAGTCTGTCTAAAAGCCAGCGAGACCGTCGGCTCCACTACGCCGACCATCGAGCACGACGCCTCCCCGTCGCCTCGACTCTTGCCGCTGGAGTGGTCGACGTCCTTCGTCGATGACGTCTGCATTGACGTCTGCTTCTCCATGCGCGGCTTCGCATCTCGACGTGGGCGACGGCTGGTCGATCGACCGCGGCCTCCCTTGATGTTGTCCTCGTCGCTGCCATCGCAGTCGGGACACTTGTACGAAAGGTGGTCGGGGTCGTGGCAGATTCAGCACTCCCGCCGTCAACCACCACCTCCTTGGCCCTTGTCCCGCGTCGACCTCTTCTCGTCGACGTCCTTTGTCGACCGCCCACCTCCACTACCACCTCCGCCCGGCTTCCCGCGCTGCCCTTGCTGCTGATTCAGCTTCGTCGGTGCAGCGTAGTTTGCCTGAGGAAGGAGCTCCGTGGGCTGTTCGGCCTCCTGTATCGCCTCGTCTTGAAGAATGTAGCTGGTGATGGAGTCCTCGTCGAGGGACTCACGCGTGGCGGGTACCATCATCATCCTCTTCATGAGGTTGTAGCCACGTGGCAGGCCCTTGACGATGGGGGAGATGTAGGACGCCGTCGAGTACTCAGCGCCTGCCATCAGCATCTCAGCCAGGATTCGTCGCGCACGATTGCAGTAGTCTGTCGCCAACTCTTGCTCGCCAATCCAAATGTGCGTAATCTTCTCCTCCAGCTGTCCGATGTACAGGTCGTCCCTGACCTGGTACATCGACGAGATGAAGTGCCATGCCCGGTGACCATCATCAAGTTGCTTTCGACAGCTCCTGAGTGCCAGCTGCACCACCGGCGAGCAGCACCTTGAAGTGACCATGAACGCGAGCAAGTGAGCCGCACAAAACTCCCCGCGCAGCTCGATATCGTCCACGGGCGGAATTGGCACGGTGCTGTCGGCGAAGCCCTTCAGCCCGGCGACCTCCAGCTGAGGTTCTATCGACGCCACCGTCGACCTTGATCACCCCTTTCTGCTTCGTGCCTTCACTGCCGCTGACTCGTGCGCCGCCGTCGACCTCGTCGTCGACGCCACCTTCGTTTCGTACCGGACGATGAGATGCAGGACGGGAAGGGTGTTCCGTCGCCCACTTCGACCGGATGCCCAACTCGACGATCAGCAAGGGGATCGTCCCATACTCGCCGTCCGCGTGGCGTTTCCTCACGTCAGCCAAGTGTGCCTCCAAGGTGTCCGCTGCATCAGCTACGGGGTCGACCATGGTGACTATCGCTGCTGCCGGCATACGAACGACTTAGTAGGTGCAAAAGTTGGCTCCTATCTGAAGGTAATCTGCGGGGCCGTCTACGCTAACTGCACCATGCGGACATTCACTCTACAACGGTAGTGAGCTAGACTACGGGGGTTGGCACAAACTACTAGGAGTGATCATAGCTTTGCTTAGTTCCTTAGTGCTTGCACATACACGGGAGAAATCGGCAAGAGTTTCACTAGGCAAAGTTGGAATTACAGAATAGTAGAACAAGCAATGACAACAATGACTACATCAGGCACCTAGCAACTCTGCAGCTAGCCTGGTCGACCGATTGCAGAGCATGGTCGACCGCCTGCCAGCGTTGCGTAGGGGAGCCGCGCCAGCACTGTAGAAAGGCGACCTGCCAACACAGCAGGTCGACGGTGTGCCAACGCTGCAGCAGAGCGGTTGTCCAGCGTTGCCCCGTAGAAGACAGAAGTGCGCACGCTCGCAGGTGCGCGCAGACGATTGGCCCGACTTGCACCGTTGTGCATCCGTCGGCTGTTGTCTGCGCCTAACAAGCCACATCGACTTCGGGATACCAACCCAAAGTCGCCTTCGCCATCGCGACCTCGACGGCGTTTGCGTGCCTCCGCATAACTCGCCGAGCAGGTTACCCGGTCGACCTGGACAACCCCAAGTGCCTCTGGTCGACCACCGGGTCCCTCTGGTCGACCACCAGGTGCCCCTGGTCGACCATAGCTCCCGTCGAGCTACCCCCTGGTCGACGGACCCCTTCCGTCGACCAAAACTGTCAGCTGTTGTCGCCGAGCTCCCCTTGACGACCACTGCTCACTTGTCAGTCAACGGACTGCTCCGTTGACCTCCTAGTCGAACTGCAGGTCGACGGACTGCTCTGTCGACCTCCCGGTCGAAATGCCCCTCCTGGTCAACGGCCCACCCGTCGCCCAGACCAGTCAGTTGCAGCTGTCGAGCTCCCTGGTCGACAGCAACACCACAGCGGTCCCCTGCAGCTCGACGAAGCCTGTCAAGCAGCTCTCCCACTAAGAACGGTCGGCTGCTACTCCCGTACATCCGACCAAGTTGTCGGCGTTGCCCAAGCAAGGGCGGGGCCAACACTCCACTCCCGTTAACACCAACAACATTGCCGACGCCTTGACCCGACCATCTATGCAAACCGCAGCTGTACTAGTCGCCTGCACCAACCCGATTTTAACAGGACTATTCACCCACGGCTACACGATCGACAGGTTCTTCAAGACTCTTCACCAACGGGCTACGACGCCACACGGGAAATGTTACCTAAAAGCCGGTACGAACCGGATTTGGGTCCCGGCATACCAACCCCTCCGAGAGTTGCTGACGCAGGAGGTTCATGACTCCAACCTCTCCGGGCATTTCGGCATCAACAAAAGACTCAAGTTGCTGCAGCGGAATTATTATTGGTCCGACATGCTAACGGACGTGAAACGCTACGTGACAACATGCCCAACCTGCAAAGCCATGAAGTCATCGCGGGAACGGCCAGCTGGATTGCTGCAGCCCCTCGAGCCACCCGAACGACCGTGGCAACAAGTGACAATGGACTTCGTCATGGGACTGCCAGCTGGCACAAGTGGCAACGGCTCGGTGTTAGTCATCGTTGACCGATTAACAAAAATGGCGCACTTCGCACCATACCAAACGACGATCACAGCCGAACAAACAGCGAAGCTGTTCATCTCCACCGTTATACGCATACACAGGTTACCTTCGGCGATCGTCAGCGATCAGGATCCGAAATTTATGTCGAAATTCTGGCAAGAGACATGGGCGCAGTATGGCACCCGTATGCAATTTTCGTTGTCTTACCACTCGCAAACCGACGGTCAGACCGAGAGGACAAATCAGACCATGGAGTAGCTGATACGCACCAACTGCCCCGACCTGACCAAGTGGGAGGATTCGCTCCCGATGTTGGAGTTTGCGTATAACAACGCACCCTCCGCCACGACCAAACAATCGCCATTTTATATAAATTACGGGATCGACCCCGTGGTACCCTCATCCACGACCCTCGACAATCCGGTACCACGATCGCAACAGTTCGTCACGGAACTTCAAGCAGTCCGCGACAAAGCAGCCGAGTTTATCCGGAAGGCTAATACCGTCGCTAGCCGCAACGGTGACAAACACAGAAGGGATGTACCCTTTCGCGTCGGGCAGATTGTCCTCATGGACACGAAGAATCTTCGACTGCCCCAGCCTGCAAAACTTTGCCCCCGCTACGTGGTGTTAGAATCCCAACCACTAGATCATTGGGATAAAAGGGCTTGTTTGTGTAGCGGGTTCGTGTGTGAAGAAAGAAAATAGGAATGAATGAACTAGGAAACAGGAGGGTACAAGTAGGAAAACCTAGAAGTGTTGTACCCCATATTGTTTAACCCACTACAGCCTACACAGACTATAGCATATAAGTTTGACACACCCCCATAGGCAAAGTGGGGGAGAACAAGAGGTCGCAAGACCAGTCAAGCAAAGCAAAGCAAGCAAGCTCAGGGTGGATCACAATGTCACCACACAGTCCGAGCACAAGAGTAAAGGCCAAAAGGCCAGTTCACATGCAAGATCATATATAAAGGTAAACAGGCAAGTGCAGGTATAGAAAGATCACAGTACAAGCAAGGTCAAGAAGTGAGCAAGTGAGGCCAAGTAGGCACAAGACCTAGCATCGTACAGAAGCGCTGATGATCACCAGGCGGAAGTGCCTTGGTAAAGATATCAGCAGTGTTGGCCTCAGAGGCCACGTAAGCAAGTCGCAGCTGACCACGCTGCTGCAGCTCACGAGCAAGGAAGTAGCGAAGAGCAATGTGCTTCGTTCTGTGCTCCAGTCTGTGCTCCCGACACAAGGCCAGCATGGCCTTGTTGTCTACGTACAGAACTGGAGGAGAACGAGGCGGCTCTCCAAGGTCAGTCAGCAGGTAGGTGAGCCAGCGTAACTCCTGTGCAGCCATGGCCCCTGCGTAGATCTCAGCCTCACAACTGGAGCTGAGAACAGAAGACGAGCGGGTAGACCGCCACGAAACAGAGCCGGAACCAAGGCTGAAGGTGTAACCCTGTGACGACCGCTGAGTAGCCAGGTCGTCAACCCAAGACGCGTCTGCGTGACCAGTAAGGACCACTGGACTCCGCCCTCCAAGCACTAGCCCCATGCCCGACGTACTGCACAAGTAGCGCAACACCCTCTTCGCTGCAGCCATGTGCTCTGGTCGGTGTCTCCCAGGAGCAACATAGCGTGCCAAGATGCTAAGAGGGTATGCTAGGTCAGGTCGTGTGCAGGTCATCAGGTACATGAGGCAGCCAACAAGCTCTGGGTACGGGCCACTCGGCTCTACGGACTCATCCGAAGGCAGAGCTGAGAGCGAGTGGCGAGTAGACAGAGGAGTGGCCTGAGGCGAGGAGTACGTGAAGTCGAAGCGCTGAAGGACCTGCTGCACCATGTGTGACTGAGTCAGGGTAATGGTGCGCCGTGCTCTGTCCCGAGTGATCTGCAAGCCAAGATAGCTGCGCAGTTCACCCAGGTCTGTGCACATGTGTCTCTTCTGCAGCTCGGACTTCACGTGGGCGAGTCCAGCAGTGTCAGCCGTAGCAAAGACCAAGTCGTCGACGTACACGAGGACGTAGAACGGCGGCAGTAAAGTGTCGGTGCGAAGAAACAGCGACCGGTCAGCAGTAGAAGGAGCAAACCCAAGAGCCGCAAGAGTAGTCCTCAGTGTGTCGTGCCACTCACGGGGCGCCTGGCAGAGACCGTAGACTGGCCGCCGGAGGCTCCACTGGGTACCAGCAGGAAACGACCCAGTGAAGCCAGGTGGGCGGCGCAGCCAGATCTCCTTGTGCAGGCTGCCCTGCAGGAAAGCAGTGCTGAAGTCAAGAGAGTGAAGCTCGTAATCTCGCTGAGCAGCAACGTGTAGTAGAACCCGAAGAGTGGTCATCTTCGGGGTCGGGGAGAAGGTCTGAAAGTAGTCAACTCCCTGCCGCTGACTGAAGCCTTGAGCCACGTAACGCGCCTTGAAGACAGGGGGAGAACCCGGCGGCCGCTTCACCCTGAAAATCCACATGCCACTGACGATGTTCGCCCCAGGTGGGGGAACCTCGTCGACGTAAGTGCCTGTGGACTTCCAGGAAGCCATCTCTGCATCCATGGCTGACTGCCACTAAGAGGAGTAGGGACCCTCGATCGCCTCAGCGTATGATCGAGGAGTCGGGATGTCTGGTGCATCCGGGTCTCCCTCAGGGGCAATCAGCGTGGACACGAGATGAGGCAAAGCAGCAGCAAAACACTGGAACTCCTCCTGCCTGTCCTCAAGGACGTCCGTGCTAAGAGCACACTCACCCGCGACGGACGGAGGACAGACAGACTCAAACTCAGCAACGAGACTAGTGGCGTAGTCTAGACGACAGCGAGCAGCAAAGTCGACAAGCTCAGCAACGAAGGCAGATGCAGCAGTGGACTCAAAGGAAGGGTCAGTAACAACAGTGGCCAGGAGACGCGTGACAGTAGGACTGGCAGCACGAAGAGAGTCAGACTCTGGGTCAGCAGGAACAGGAAGAGAGGACTCTGGAGGAGACGGCAACGGGACACGCAGAGGAGCAGTGGAAGGACGCAGTGCCATCTGGTGTGTGCCTGGGACTGCAGGAGGACGCGGACGCGGAGCACGACGACTAGTGCGAGCAGCACGAACAGGCGACGCAGGTTGAGACGCAGGCTCACAACGCTCAGCAAGACCTCCAGTAGGACCAGTGTAGGGAGAAGGAGCAGGAAGGGGGGAGGCGGGCTGTAACTGTGACTCGGACTGGACAGGCTGTGGACACTCTAAGGGAGGAGCAGGACCAGTAGAGGGCGGGAGACCAAGAACCTGCTCAAGGAGCGGAACGAAGTACGGCCGCGGCCGCGCAGCGCCTCCAGAACCAGCAGGGACAGCACCAGCACCCCCAGCGTCAGCACCAGCGCCAGCAGCACCTCCAGCTCCAACAGCCCTAGAAGCACCAGCGCCAGCAGCACCACCAGCGCCAACACCCACAGCAGCGTCAGCTCCAGCAGCTCCAGCTCTAGCAGGACCGTCAGCTCCAGTACCGCCAGCAGCACCCCCAGTCCCAGTAGCTCCAGTACCGCCAGTACGAGCACCTCCAGGACCAGGAGCAACAGTAGCACCTCCAGCTCCAGCAGCTCGGCTCCAGCGTCGGGCAAACCACTCGCGCAGCTCCTGCGGAGAGAGTGGCTCCCGCCTCGACGAAGCACCGCCAGAGGCCACCCGAGCAGACCCAGCACCCCCAGGCTCCGCACCCCCAGGCTCCGGACCCCCAGGCTCAGCACCCCAAGACTCCGCACCCCCAGGCTCAGCACCCCCAGACTCAGCACCTCGAGACTCAGCACCCCCAGGCTCCGCACCCCCAGGCTCAACACCCCCAGACCCGGCACCCACAGGCTCAGCTCCCCTAGCAGCACCAGACTCAACAGCTACCTCGACAGGCTCGACAGCGTCTACCTGGGACACACCTGACGGGGCAGGACCCTGAGGGGGGAAAGGGTATACCGGGGGAGGACCTGGCGCAAGGAAGAGCGGCGGCGGGGGGAGGGGCGCAGTGCGGTAGGGGAAGAGACGGTAGTAAGGCACCGACTCGTCAAAGGTGACGTCCTGGGAGGACAGAACACGGCGCGAGGTGGGGTGGTAAAACTGCCACCCAGGCGCGTCAGGGGGGAAGCCAAGGAAGACGCAGGGAACAGCACGGGGGGACAGCTTGTCCGCAGACGAGTCGCGGACAAACGCTCGAGATCCCCAGACCCGAAACGCAGACGCATCACCAACCTTCCCCGTCCACCGCAAGGTGGGGGAGGTCTCTGGCAAGGAGACCCGGGGCTGAAGGTTGAGCTGATGCGCTGCGTACTGAACCGCAAACGGCCACAGAAAATGGGGGGCAGCCGCATGGATCATGGACGTACGAGCGACGTCCATGACCATGCCAATGCGGCGCTCAGCAATCCCATTTTGCTGTGGAGAAGCCGGAAGCGTGAAGGTCTGGCGGATGCCCTATGCACGACAGAAGGCTCCCAGACGAGCAGAGGAAAACTCCCCGCCTCTGTCAGAGTGCAGACGCAGAACAGGAAAGTCCGAGCCGAAACTCTCTCGGAGGTGGAGACGAGCTGCGCGGATCCAGTCGATCAACACCTCAGTGACGTCACCCTTGCTGCGCAAGGGGAACACGTGGTGTAACGCGAGTAGTCGTCAACCACCAACAGGAAGTAACGCTCGTGACCCTGGCCACGCACGCGGGCGGGGCCCCACACGTCCATGTGAATAGTCTGCAGTGGAGCCGCTGTCGGAGGAAACTCGGAGGAGTGAGGGGCGGCGCGCTGCCGTCCCTCGACGCAGGGGACGCAGGTAGGGGCAGGCCCCGGAGGCAGGGGAGGTAGGGACCGGGGGAGACCAGAGACAAGGACACGGGAGGCCATGCCTCGGAGACGAGGCAGGGAGGGGTGACCAAGGCGGTGGTGCCAAAGGAGAGTCTGGTGGGACAGGAGACGACACGAGCAGGGAGCAGACTCAGGACCAGACCTGGACGCTGCAGCCAACACCTGACGCGACGCAGCGACCTGACCAGACTCAGTAACCGGAGGAGACTCAGTAGTCAGTGTGTACAGGCTCGACCCCGGTCGACGGGTAAACGTGGCCAAGTGTCGGCCCGTCCGAGCACACGTACAGTGGGTCACCCGCTGACTCGCAGGAGTGAACTGGTCAACCCCCCGATCCTGTAGATCAGCACCACTCACCAAGTTTGTAGAGAACGAGGGGAGGTAGAGACCGGACAGGGTGCCAGAGGGGGCTGCCGGACACGGTAAGACAGTGGAGAAGCTAGCAAGGACAGGACCCCCAGAGGGGTCCGCCAGGGAGACCGCAACCGGCCGACGAAGCGGCGTAAGCGTGGTGCGGTCTCGAAAGAAGGAGCGGGAAGCACCCGAGTCAAGGGTGAAGGTGTGTAGGGCCTGAGCCGACGTGGTACCTGAGAGAGCAGACGCACCAGCACCTGGGGCAGTAGACGCACTAGCACCTAGAGCAGCAGTCTCACCAGCACCTAGAGCAGCAGCCTCAATGCCCGGGTCAGGCGGAACACACAGGTAGCAGTCACCCTCATCACTAGTAGACACAGCATACATGGCAGCAAGAATAGCATCATAATCAAGATCAAAGATAGCAACCCCCGCCCTAGACAGGTCTCCCTAGCGAGGGATCTCAGTGGCGTCTGGGAACTGGTGACGCCACGCGTCCGTCAGGCGGCCGAAGCAGCGCTGGGTGGAGTGAGGGCCCCCGCACTGCTCACCAGTGCGGTCGCCGGTACGGAGGACGTAGGTGCAGGGACCAGCACCTCGCTGACGCCCAGCGTACCACTCACGAAGCTGCTGGGGGGACGGGGTCTCACGACTGCGCTGCTGCTGCTGGCGCGGACCACCACCGGAGCCACTCCTCTGCACAAAGCGGCGACCAGCTCCACCGCTGTCTCCGCCGCCTCCGCTACCTCCGCCGCCTCCTCCACCTCCGCTCCCTCCACCACCGCTGCCGCCTCCTCCGCCTCCACTGCTGCCACTGACACCTCCACCCCCACCACCACTCCCACCACCACCCCCACCCCCTCCACTGCCCCCACCACCACCTCCACCGCCCCCGCCAGCCCCTCCAACACCCTTGCCCCCCTTGCCCTTGCCAGGGCGACGTCTCCCGCTAGGGGCAGACGCAGCGCCGGCCGACTCGAAACCAACGAGGTCGGCCGCAGCAGCAGAAGCAACAGAGGGCAAGAGGGGGGAGGGGGAACACCCCGCAAAGACGGGGGTGCGAGGGTCACCACGAGAGGCTCCTACAGCGACTATGCTCTGCTCTGCTGCTAGGAGGCGCTCCTCGAGGAGGTCAACGGTGAGTGTGGTGGGGCAAACTGAGAGGAAGTGGTCCCTGACTAAGCGAAGGGAGTCAGGGAGCCGGGTGACTATGTAGTAGAGGGTGATGTACATGGGGGGGGGGTTCTTGGCACAGAACTCAGCAGGGAGCGCAGTGCGGTAGCGAGTGTCGCTAGTGCGAAGGTGCGTAATGAGGTCAGCGACTGTGGGAAAGGCAGCAAGGTCAGGGAACAGGTACGGCAGCATGAGGCGGCTAAGCGCAGCAGTGGCAGGGGAAGAGTAGCGCGCAACTACAGCGTCGTACAAGGTCTGAGCACTCTTGTACTGGCTAAAGTGCGCACGCTCAGTGGTCGGTAAGTGGCGACGCACAGCAAGACGGGCAGCAGCATCGCGTGTGGCCCACTGTGAGCGTACAGTGCTGTCAGCAGTAGCAAGCGGGGCAGGAGAGGCACCAGAGGTGAGATCGAATAGGGACAGTCCGTCTGCTCTATCGCACTGTAGGAACAGCTGGAGGTCATCGACCCAGACCTCAAAGTCAACAGCACGACCCTCAGCATCAAAGGTAAGGACACTGGGGGTAGCCATGACTGCAGCGGCCTAGCAGGGAGGGATCTCACCAGTCGGAGGAAGTAGGGCCGGGGCGCGCAGGGCGGCTCGGCGACAGAGCGGCTGGGCGGCAGGGTGGCTCGGCGGCTCGGCTGCTGGGCGGCTCGGTGGCACGGCTGCTGGGCGGCTCGGCTGTCGGGCGGCTCGGCGGCTCGGTTGTTGGGCGGCTCGGCGGCTGGGCGGCCCGGCTGCAGGGCGGCTCGGCGGCTCGGCTGCGGGGCGGCTCTGCTGTCGGGCGGCTCGGCGGCTCGGCGGCTCGGCTGCGGAGGGGCTGCGTCCGGGACAGGGTCGGGGCCGAGGCAGGGCCGGGACGGGGTCGTAACGGGGCCGGGACAGGGTCGGGGCCGGGGCAGGTCCGGGACAAGGTCGGGGACAGGGCCGGGCCGGGCCGGGAAGGGACGGCGTAGGAGCCGCGTCAGGTGCCGCGGCAAGGGCAGCGTCGGGGGGCCGCGGTAGGGGCCGCGTCAGGGGCCGCGTCAGGGGCGGCGTAGGGGCCGCAACAGGGGCGGCGTAGGGGCCGCGTAGGGGCGGCGCAGGGGGCGCGGCAGGGGCGGTGCAAGGGGCGCGGCAGGGGCAGTGGAGGGGCCGAAGCAGGGGCGGCGTAGGGGCCACGTCAGGGGCCGCACCAGGGGCCGCGTCAGGGGCCGCGTCAGGGGCCGCGCCAAGGGCCGCGTCAGGGGCCGCGCCAGGGGCCGCGTCAGGGGCCGCGTCAGGGGCCGCGCCAGGGGCCGCGTCAGGGGCCGCGTCAGGGGCCGCGCCAGGGGTCGCGTAGGGGCCGCGTCAGGGGCCGCGTCAGGGGCCGCGTCAGGGGCCGCGCCAGGGGCCGCGTCAGGGGCCGCGTCAGGGGCCGCGCCAGGGGCCGCGTAGGGGCCGCGTCAGGGGCGGCGTCAGGGGCCGCGCCAGGGGCCGCGTCAGGGGCCGCGCCAGGGGCCGCGTAGGGGCCGCGCCAGGGGCGACGTAGGGCCGGTTAGGGGCCGCGTAGGGGCCGCTTAGGGGCCGCGTAGGGGCCGCGTAGGAGGCCGCGTAGGGGCCGCTAAAAAATATTTTTAGGGCAGGGCAGAATGCGCGTCGGGCAGCTAAAAACAAATCTTATGGTGGGCCCTTAGGAAGGAACGGTCCCATGTAGGAACCCGCTCTATACCATGTGAAGAAAGAAAACAGGAATGAATGAACTAGGAAACAGGAGGGTACAAGTAGGAAAACCTAGAAGTGTTGTACCCCATATTGTCCAACCCACTACAGCCTACACAGACTATAGCATATAAGTTTGACATCGTGCGCCCATAACCCCCCAGGCGAACACGCCTGTAACCCCTCCTAGGATCAATCGGACATCTACAGTACAGTGCAGATCTACTGACACCCCCCCACATTAAGAGGCCCTGGACTGAGCACAGCGGCAACGACCTACATATGCATACTCCAGGATTCGAACCCAAGACCGCTCTGATACCATTTCATAATCCCAACCACTAGACCATTGGGATAAAAGGGCTTTGTTAAGTTGCGTGTCAGTGCGCTCATAACCTCCCAGGACAACGAGTATGTAACCCTTCCCTAGGATCAATCGGGGATCATTAGTGGACCTCTGACACCCCCCTCGCACTGGGATGCCCGAAGTGCACACACTGGGATTCGAACCCGAGACCTTCGCTCTGATACCATGTCAGAATCCCAACCACTAGGCCATTGGGATAAAAGGGCTTGTTTGTGTAGCGGGTTCGTGTGCCCACAACCCCCCAGGCGAACGCGCCTGTAACCCCCCCTATGATCAATCGGGCATCCTCAGTGCAGATCTACTGACACGTGGGACCATTTCGCATTACTCAAATGGTGACACCTGTCACGGCAAGGTTACTGCTCCCCGACGACTGGAAAATACACAACGTTCCACGTCAATCTGCTGCGTCATTACGATGCACCCCAGTCGCCAACCATCGCCCGACCAAATATTGCGCCAAGTGTCCGACCTGTGGCAGACCCGACACTCGAACCATGGAAGATTCTGAACCATCACGTGGATCTAACGGCCTCGGGACGCCGCGTCGTCGTTTTACTTCGCTGGAAAGATCGTAAAAGCGATGACGACACGTACGTTGCCGCTGGCTCGCTACAGGGGCACCCGTTTCTGCAAGATTATTTGACTCACCAGCGCGTCTCGGATATACACCACCTTTCTCAAAAGGGGGGGGTAGTGTAAGGATTTTTCCCTAATTCCTTACCGAGTCACACTGTACGCGTACAGACCCCAACTTTCGGAGTTCAGGCTCGGTCCGACAACCTCGCCCTCCGAACCACCATCGCGTCGCCTTTGGGTTTTCCAACCCCGAGCCTGCACCCAGCCATTCGCGGTCCCGCGACCTCGGCCTAGCTAGCAGTTGCTATATTAGTGCTAGGCTTCATTATTTTCTAAGTACTTGTTATCACTTCCGCGTTATTGAATCCTGCGCACTCTCTTCATTACAACTCATAACAATATGCTAGTTTTGTGGTGTGCAATACCAGATAACGTCAGAATCATGTCTGAACCGCAGCATGGCCATGGTCGTTATACCTCCTGTGATCGAGGGGCATAAAAGCTTCATGGCTGTTACCGAGGGTCCTGTGCGGACCCGACTTTCCTTACGTCTCCCCGCGCTAGTATCCCGCTTGATGTCTTGTGTGTTCTAGTTACCGCTTGCGCCGCACGAAACCATGCCGTCGGCAGTGCTGCCACCGCCATGTCCACGTGTCCGCGCCATTTCCGCGTCATCTCGCGTTGCTCTCGGCTCTCCACGTTGCGACAACCGGGTGCGATGGCGAGGCACGAGCCCCTTAGGGGTGGCGGCATGTGTGCACATGGATGGCAGGGGCGCCGGCAGCGATGGAGAGGGCGACCCCCCACCCTGTGGTCATGGTCATCCTGGTGTGGGGAGTCATCGAAATAGGCATTGGGAATTTCAGTTAGCAATTTATTGCGTATGTGAAAGATGAGACAACAAGCACATACTTGGGCGACCTGAGCTGCTGCAAACTACAGAACTGAGAACGGTGAGTTAGAGAAGGAGGAGAAGAACAGGAGAGAGCGTTGTGCTATCAAACAGATGCCCTACAGAGCAATGATTCTTGTTAACGAGCCAAAGACAGCGGTAGGTATGGAACCAGTGAGCTGATTGTTTGGTTAACATCCTGAAAGAGGATTGCAGGGGGCAAGAGCAGAGCTAAAGGCTCAAGGTTAACGAAAACAGTTGGGAGCGACAGAACAAGAGGAGGTTCAACTCTGTCATAAACTCTGCCGCAGTACAGCCTGATTACTATTCAGGGCCCAAATTGCGAAGCGCGCGGGGCAAGATTACTATTCTTGCATACTTCGCGTTTTTTGTGCTGTCTCATCGTGTAAAGCAATCTGATTGGTTACGGAAGGTTTAGAAGCAATCTGATTGGTTACGGAAGGTTTAGAAGCAATGCGATTGGTTACAGTGCAAGTTTCTCAACTCTGCAATTTGGGACTATCGGTCCCCAAACACACGGTGCCCCCAGGACTTCGCGTTCACCAACCCCACCCCCAGCACCCAACCTTGCACAAGATTACTAGTCTTATGCAATTTGGGCCTTGAGCTTTAATACAGCCTTTTGTCTTCAGGAGAGGTGTCCCCAAAAGTATTTTCACTAGAAGCACTTTT